AACAACTAGTTCCGAGGCTAACCAAGAGGGGAAGGGTGAATTAGATATTTAAAAAAATCTTCTTTCAACAAAAAGAAAAATCCTATTTTTAGAGCCTTTTCAACATCTCAAAAAGAATAATCAATACAACGTAATAAGAAATTCAAAATTTTGCCTAAATTATGATTGGTAGATATTTTTCATGATTATAACCGATCATCCTGGATGATCTAGATCGCCCAATACGATTAATTGGATGAACCGATTGTCCAATATGATATAAATCATACGGTATGATTAGTTCAAAAATTAAATTTTTGCTTTTGACTCAATCTCACTCCTCCTAAGTGTGTGTGTACATAGTCACCAAGGAAACATACACCCTTAAAAAATTTTCTTTCAACAAAAAGAAAATTCATATTTTTAGAGATTTTTCAACATCTCAAAAAGAATAAACAATACAACGTAATAAGAAATTCAAAATCTTGCCTAAATTATGATTGGTAGATTTTTTCCATGATTATAACCAATCGTCCTGAATGATCTTGATCGTCCAATTCGATTAATTTGATGAACTGATTGTCCAATATGATGTAAATTATTTGGTATGATTAGTTCAAAAATTAAATTTTTGCTTTTGACTCAATCTCACTCCCCTAAGTGTGTGTGTACATATTCATCAAGCAAACATACACCCTTATAAGATTTGACACAAGAAATAAAAAATACATCAATGAATATTATAAAAATATTTATAGCATCACATATTCTACTAAATCTTGAGCCTCTAATCTTCATTGGATGGTGTGTGGTATTCCTAAAATATTAGTACACTCACAAACAAATATATATTACAAACACAATTAAACATAAGAATATGAGCAACAATATTTGTTATTATCAAAGATATAAACTTGTAAGCTAGAGTCGTAATAATCTCTCTCTTTCTGATAATGACAAACATTACTGGTTGAATTTGTAAAATTAAAATATTTTTTTCTAATCTCTCCCTCAATAAGATAACTATATTAAAAATAGGGGAAATCAAAAAAGTTTTTTTTTTAAAATTTTTTTAAGATAAAAATAAACAAAAAGCAAAAAAAAAAAAAAAAAAAAAAAAAAAAAAAAAAAAAAAAAAAACCTAAACAATAGATAATATAATGCAAAGATAAGATGAACACATGCAACTTAAATAAAAATACAACTATTCAAATATATTCTCACCCTTTGATATTATCAAAAAGAAAGAAAATGCATGAAAAATAAAATGGAACATGCATAACAAACTTTGATCAGGTGGAGTTGGAGCTGATATTTAAGAAGAATAAATTAATTTTAGAAATTTTTTTGAAATGAGAAAGTTACATTTTGATTTTATTCAAAATCTTAGTAAGAAATTAATTAGCTGCACTAAGATCCAGAAATATTAGAAATTTGAATTTTATCAACCCTAACAATCTAAATAAGAAAATAAATTAGAAAGGAAATGTAATATTTTTAAACTTCATTTTGAAAAAAAAATCTGATACAATAACATTGTAAAACAATTAATCACAATCATGATTTTTAAAATTCAAGTGTATGAAGATATCAAGTTGCAAATGGATTCTTCTAAGATTTAAAGGTTTGAAAGAGAAGGAAGCTTATTTCTTTATGGGTTCATTTTGTGCCTCTTTTAGTTATTTGTCATAATTTGTGCATATTTTGATTTTTAATACACTATGTGTATCTTGTAATTATTTGGCGATCATTGTGTATTTTTTTAGTTTTCTTTTGAGCTCATTTTGTGCCTCTTGTTATTTTTGCGAGCTGGCTTCCTTTCAAAACCTTTGAAAACTCTTAGTTGTGAGATTATCTTCCATATATAAGAGAAGAAAAACTCACTCTCTAATATAAGAAAGAATAAACCATAAAATAGAATTATATTCATATGATAAATACAATAATCTGATTAAGAAATCTTGAAAGTAATTCAATGACTTTGAGCATTATTCATATGAGATAGATAACTGTTGAAAAATAAAATAGATCAATTTTAAAGTCCAACTTTTAATTTGAAATAGATTTTGCTCAAAAAAAAAAAAAAAAAAATACACCACTCAAAGAGTTAAGGAAGAAGGATAAGCATCAATTTTTCTTTCTTAAGCTATTTTAGAGAAGTCAATAATCACTTACAAAAAATATTTAAGTAAAAAGGATGTTTAAATTTTCATTTTAAAATAAATGTGATTTTGAAGAGAAGTGATTGATTCTCTTATGAAAATACGGTTTGAGATGTTATTTGTGTATGATGATCAGAGAGAGTGTTCTTAAAAATATATACTGAAAAAAATAAAAAAAATTACAAACATAAATATCTTACGTACTATAAAACAAAACACTAAAACAACATTAAAAAAAAACATTCACAACAATTAAAAATAAAACACAAAATATACACGCTTGCATTAACTGTAACACAAATAAACTCACAAATAAAATATTATATCTCATTATCTTGCTCATGATTTGATGATTCATAAATTAGGTTTACCGGGAGATCTTTTTCTTTTTTATCATTTATCCTTATTGCATTTTGCTTATTTTTATCATTTTTATTTCCTGGAAGAGTTTTTGAATTAGGGCATTCATTTCTTCATATGTTTGAATTTTCTATACCCAAAGTAAATAATGTTAGAAGAAATCTTAGAATTCTTATCATTTTTATATTTATTCCACTTTTATTGATGCTGATATTTATGCTTCAGTAATTTTTCAAATTCGCTTGTGATTGAGGCTATCTCCTTGCTCTTGTTATCTACTAATCCATTATTATCCATCTCTTCAGGTTTTAACACTATTGTTTCACCTGCATCCAAACATATTTGACCCAAACTTTACTCGTATGTAATGAGTGAGCCAATCAAATTATCAACAAAATATTCATTTAAATTTTTTGATTCACAAATAACAACGACTTTGACATCAAACTTATCAAGTAGACAACATAGAATTTTATTGACTTTTTTAAAATTTGAAAGTTCTTTACCTAAGGCTTATAATGATGTCACTTTTTGAATAAATATAGTATACATATCTAGAATAATCTTATATGATTTCATGCAAAATAGTTCATAATCATACATTAAAATATTCAACCTGAATTGCTTGACTTCACTAGTGCCTTCATATGTAGTGTGTAATTTATCTCATTTTTTTGCCAGTAGTAACATATAATCTTCAGAATTCAAAATATAAAAAAATAATAATTTAAAGATTTAGTATTCAATTAAACATTGATTCATTCTACTTTACTCCATTCAGCAAAAGGAATATTAATTTTAACTCTATCTACAATACATGACGGTACATAATAACTAGTTTGAATCATATGTTACATTAGATAATCAATCCATTGTAAGAAATTAGACACACAAGTTCAAAAAAAAAAATCAAAAGAGATATTTTCTAATAAAGGTGGTCGTTTGATTGAATAGTCTTTCATAATATTATGATTTCCAAAATTAGCAATTGATCATTTTTTCAAAAGTTTTCTAAAAACTTATTTTTAAAATCCTGCTATGATATTACTTGAAGGTACAAGGGGGCTGTTAAACCCTAAAAAACTAGTCTCGATGCTAACCAAGAGGGGGGTGAATTGAATATTTAAAAATCTTCTTTCAACAAAAACAAAAATCTTATTCTTAAAGCTTTTTCAACATCTCAAAAAGAATAATCAATATAATGTAATATCAATCACAAATTTTTAACCAAGTAGTTATATCTAAAAATAAATGCACAAATTAAAATGCAAAAAAAAGAACATATCAGATTTATAGTGGTTCAGTCCAACTTGACCTACGCCAACCCCCTGAAGGCACCCTCCAGGTATTGCACTAAAACCTTTTAGTGTCTCTCCTTTTGCCCCCACAACAAGGCGAAGACGTCCTTACAAAATCTTTTCACCAACCCAGTGTGGAAGAGGATCGAAACTCCTTTCACATGCAGAGAACCTTGACTCCTTTTTCTCCCTCTAAGAGATAATAGTGAACTACGAATCCCTTTCACTTTCCCCGGTGCGACGGAATAGCCAAACTGATGCGGTGCATCTATACTACGGTGCACCTGAGGAGTATTTTATCTACCAGCTTGTTTCTCTTTAGTTGCTGTTAGCACTAGTAAAGCATGTGGCCACTAGTTTTAATACTTTAGTTAGTTATATAGTACACTTTACACTTTTTGCTTGCAACCCCTGTTTTGGGAATACCGAAAGAAGAAGGAGATAGGTATATGAGCAAATTGTAGAGAGGAAGGAGGTAGTTTTTCATCTTGCAATATAGAACTACAGTTCTTGGTATTATTTGTCTTGTAATTTCTTCCTTGCAGGTTTTGATCCTCATCACAAACTCTTTTGACACCAAAGAGATCTTCTTACCAAAACTTCCCTCAAGACAAATCTTGAATCCGGTGATACTAAGGTGCAAGTTTGTCAGAGCAACTGTGTGAAATCCCCTCCACACTCCCTTGAAACCCCCTCCAAGGATATTCTTTTTCTCAAACTCCACTATTTTCTCTCTCCTTTTTAAATTCTTTCTTCAAGTTTTCTAAAAAAGATCGAAGATACAATGGCTGCTAAAGACACTTACCAAGTACCTTGTCAAAGCTTAAATAAAGGGCTTAAAAAATCTTAAAAATTTAATTCAGTCGATAAAGATCATCCAAGACGATCCTGAGATCATTCTGTATGATTAATACAAAATAGCTCTTTCAACCAGTATGATCAGCATTGCCCTGTACGATCAGTTCAAGTGTTTGCACAGATCGTCAAGCAATATTATTCTTAAATCATCCGAGATGATTAATTCAATCAAAATGTTGTTCGTCCAGTACGAAACATGGGACAACCAAAATCATCACTATTGATCGTACAATATGATTTAGATCATATAGTAAAATCACAATATTAAAATTAAGTAGTTTCGATTGACTAATTATAGGATCAATTTATATAAAAAAAAAAAACACGCATGTATATGCTAAATTCTTTGATCATCTTTTATTTGCAGCTTCTGAATGGAAGAGTTCTCCTTTCCGGCGCAAATCCTTGACATCTGGATCCGAACTTCAGCATATTAGATTAGCATCCTTCCTTTCCGGCGAAGTCTCTTCCGGTAACTTAGTTCCAGCGACAAGTCCACTTCTTGCAAGCTTGTCGTCATTGTCACCGCTGGGTCCAACATCCTATAGTTTATCTCTGTGTTGAGCGAATTTAATTGCAGTTCGAACTCCTGCCTCCGCGCGGTAGGAGCTAGGCTTTCGACCGCGAGGCTACGGATCCGGACGCTTATATTTTCATTTCATTTCATTCTCCTCCTACCTAACGGTGCACGGTTGCCCCTAGTTCTTCATGGCTTCCGCTCCACTCCCGGGATCCGGAGCGGTCTTCCGTGGTTACAACTTTGCCAACACGTGGGAACAGGTGATATTTTGTTACAAAACCCTAGCTTTCGCGACGTCCACATTTTCAATTTCTCCAAAATCGCAACTATTTGCGTCTTACATTTCCTCATGCTATGGCTTACCATGGAATGCTGGATCTTGTTGTGGAATGGGAAGCTAATTTTGTTAGGTTATCTGTTTGCAGAATGCCCCTTTGACGGAGGAGCAGAAGGCTGCGGTAACATCGTTGTCCCTTGCTGTTGCTGAGCGCCCCTTTCCGCCTAATTTGGTTAGTGGTGAATTATTGGCTGTCATTTCTTAGAGGAGCGGGGATTAACTAGTTCCTTTGCAGGCCCAAGAGCAGAACTTGGGGAAGGATGGAAGTGCAGTGGTTTCACCTGGTGATGCCGTGAAAGAAGCTGGGATCAATGTGGTTCTGGTCAATACTCATCAGGTGAATTTATTTTAATTTTTAAATTTAACAAGACATCCTGGTTTTTCTTTGTGCTTTCTGCAATTTCAATTCACCTTTTAGTATTCAGTTTCTTTAGCGTATTTGATACACTTTGTAAGTGATTGGAATTTATCTTTTCATGGCATTTTTTGTCCAAAGCTGTGTCTAAAAGCGGATTAAGATTATCAAGTTTATGCCTTAGACTCTTAGCACATGGAAGAATACGCATTATTCACCAAAGAGGAGGTACTTCAGAATGAATGTTGTATTTGCCTTTCCCAAGTGAATTATCTCAATGTACAAGTTTGGTTTGTAGTTTTAGGTATAAAAATAAGATAACCAATCCCTCTAAAAAAGAAGAAAATTTATTCTTATAGCTATACAGGCTAGTTCGTATGAAGTTCTTTATGTTTTGTTTTGAAAGTTACGTACTTGGAAATGAGAAAAGGAGAGAGAGAAAAGATCTAAGATAGAAAGTGAAGACATATAGACTATGATTAAGAGATATTTTGCTGTAAAATTTTAGCATCCCATTATTCAAAAGAAATATAAAGAAACATAAAAACACTATTTTTAGAAATTGTTTAGAAGAGCGGAAGAAAAAAAAATTATGATCCCAAACTGCCTTTAGTTTTTGGTCTTTTACTCATTATACTTTCTAGCTATTTAGACTAATACATAAAACTCCCATTAAACATGTCTGTAATAATTTGTATTTTTCCAAATCATATAGTGGTAGGTTATGATTTTTAATCCTTCATAATTCATTCCTCTATAGTGCTATATTTGTTGTTGTTTATTTGTTCTTTTCTAGTTTTCCTCTTAAAGTCTACTAACCTTTTTAACTTGTTATCATTGATTTTAATTGTGATTTTAATAATGCTTTAACATCAAAGTACTATGTGTTTTGTTTTACTCTTTCAGAGTGGATGTTTTAGATTGATTAAATACCTGCTTTGTTGTTGTGACGACAATGCACATCAACTTTAATCTTCAAGAATAAATGAAATTTAGCATAAAAAGGGAAAAAAAAAAGAGAACCTACAATCACTTTGTTTATTCACATGCAGTTCTACAAGTGGTTCACAGATTTGGAGTCGGCCATGAAGTCAGAGGTCCGTTTTGATACCACCATCCCACTGTCAATTGAAGGGGAATTAAGAGACTTTTGTCATGATATATAATCACGGTACCGACTAATGATTTTAATGACAGACAGAGGAGAAATATCGTCTCTATGTGAACACATTGATGGAACATATTCAGATATGTGATGGAATACTTGAACAGGTTGGTTATGTTCTCTTTTAAAATTTTTCCTTTAATAGTTTTTTGTAATAATACTTGTTTCCATAATCTCTTTACTACTTTATGTGTTTGAGTTACCTAGCCAGAGTAAAATTGACCCCATTTCCAGTAGGAAAGAAAAATTGTCGATATCCTTCTATTGAAAGTCAAACTTGAGTATATTCCAATCCAAATGAAGTAGCATCAATAGCATAAAGTAACAATAGCAGGTGACAATGAGTTATACTAGTGGGATTAGTTACAACGACCAAATATAATTGGTTTGGCTCAAACACAAAACTTCACCAGCTGGACTATCTGCATAACTGTTCAAACGGACCATTTTCTTTCATTTAGTCAATTATGGGTACTTTGGATCAAACACATTAACATCTAAAAGGATGCTCGAATAACCTACAACTTTTTAATATGGTTTTGGATTCTGTAGAGACCTACTGGCTTTAAGTTTGTTCATTGATAGATATAGTCATAATTAAAGCCTAAAATAAACATCTAAAGGATTTGGTTTCTCAAGAAGTATGAGAGTCTCTCGTTTTTTCTTTTTAAGATAATAGTCTCAAGTCTCAACTGAGTCTTTAGTGATTAAATTTTTTTCTATTCAAAGCTCATTCTTTACCAAAGTAACATCTAATTATTTTCTCTTGTAGCCTATCTCCTTGAGATGTCTTTTTAAGATATGGTCCCGAACTTGATTCCCAATTAGACCAGTATGATGCTCATCTGACAGCTGACAACTTATTCTTTTATATATTTTTTTGCTTGAAGCATTCAAAGTGCTTGAGTTTTTCACATCAAAATTTCCTTAGATGAAATATATTTACTGTTTATGCTGGTGTTTGCTATGTTTCTTAAACCTTATGCAGGTGGATGAGACCCTTAATTTATTTAATGAATTACAAACGCTTCAACAATCTGTTGCTACAAAAACAAAGACATTGCATGATGCATGTGATCGGTTGGTATGTGATCCTGCCATTTTGCATGCTTTAATAAGATGTATTTTCTATCTCTTCTCTGATGGTTGCTTCTGCATTCAATAATATATATTTGTATGCTTTAAGAAACTAGTTTGTTAGACATTATAAAGACATTTCTAAAGTTCATTATCTGTATATTTTTCTTTCATTCTTTGTAGATAAAATCTAGTTACAAAATTACCTCTTGAAATATTTTGATTTTGATACTGTAGATTATTTTATCTTATAGTATCCCTTGATCTAGGATTACTAATGTTGGAAAATATGAGATTAAAAATATTGTTATAGGAAATCTTTAATTAGCCTGTTGACCATATATATGTTTCTATGCATGTTTTCATCCTATAATTGAAGATATTTTCTGCTTTATTTCTTGCATATTGGAAATATTTATTTATGACTTGAGTCACCATAAAACCATTAAAATTTTTTAATGGAAAACATATGAGTTTGTTTTCCTCGCTTTTTCACTCTATAGTTTTGAGCCATCTATTAAATCATGTTTATGTGACTATGAAGAAACTATAGGTATTTCTTTCTGATTTCCAAGAAGAATACTTCTCTTTTATGCTTTGCATTTTTATATATGTTCTATAGGTGTCATCCTTCCCTCCAACATGTTTATTCACGAATGATGGCTAACCCTAACATTCTCAACATTGCTTTTGCTTTCTCCTGAATTTGTTTGGTCACTAAGCTTTTGGCTTGTCATATTGTCCTCGTCACTTCCACGGGCATGATTTTTTTTTTTAGTGATAATTATTTTGAGTTCTTCTCTAGAATGCTCTACACTGCAGAATACTTCAAATTTTCACATAAATTCTCATCAAATCTAGCATGAAACTTCATAAAAATGGATTTATCCTCCATCAAAATTTCCAAGGTAATAATTTGCTTATAAAATTTCATTGCATATTTGATACGTCCTACAAAATTGGCTTGGTCATACATGAAGCTCAATGCACACTCGAATTGCAAGCTTCTAAAATTAAATTTAGGCCCCTAATTTCAACAAACTCATAGTCAAATTGATCAACTCGATGAGTCAAACCCAACAAATCCAAAGATGATCCAATGTGAGTCCAAATCTTCCCAGATCAACAGCTTGAAGAATAGTTGAAATTTTAGAATTTAATTGGAGGACCAAATGATCTCCAAATTTGACATGCTTTTAGTCAAATTGAGCGTCTTATTGAAATGAATTCAACAAGCTCAAGATCACTTAATTTGATAACATTAAGGCTAAATGTTGAACGGATGCTTGTAATCAAGGGAATAAATTTGGTCAATGGAGTGTTTTGAATTTTCTCCATATTTATAGGCATACCACTATCATAAATCTATAAATAAGCCATTCCTCTACATGAAAAAGATCTTTGGCTAAAGATTAAAGAGAACTACATGATTGAAGAATCCCGGAGCGTCACTCGAGCACCACCATTATTGGATTTGTACCTGGCTATCATCGTCGGCTCATAGTCCAACCTTTGTTGGAACTTCGTTGTTTGACCATCATCGGGGGAACTTTACCACCCAATCATCCCCATTATACTATCGCCCGACCGTCGCTGCTGGACCTTTGCTTCTTGACTACCATCGTCGACCTATCATCTGACAGTCGCTATTTAACCTTCAACATCTGACTGCTAACGTCAGACCACTGTTTAACTGTAGTTGTTTGACAACCGCCTGAATGCAAAGTTAAAATATTTATTTATTTGTGTGTTGGATCTTGGAGCAAAGTTATGATGTTTTACTCTCTCATTCTACTACCACGAATTTTCTAGCCCCCTTAATGCTGTTTGTGGGAGATAATCTCACTATATTAAGCACCACAAACACCCATTCAATGACTAATAAGAGTAACAATCACTACAATGGAGGCTTCTGCTCCAACACTCATTATTTCGAAAATTAGTCATGTACCAAGGATGTTAGGCCTCTTCCTTTTTTTTTTACTTCGACAAGTGTACATCTAGTCCATCCTTGGAAGATCGCATTTGCAATTTGGAGGAATGCCATAATTAAATCCTTCAACTTCTATTTATCTTTTAACTCGTTTAATTGCATGTGCATGTAGTATGTATTGTTAGAGTTAAAAATGAGAAAATGACCCAAATGGTCTCTCAACTCTTTGTAAGGGACCAAAATAGTCTCCAACTCCTTTGAGGGACAAATTTGGTTCCCCAACTATTTAAAACGAGATTTTTTTTGTCATATCAGTTAATAGTAAAGTTAATGGTTTTAAATATAAGGGTATTATAGTAATTTTTTATTAAACATTTATTAAATATAATTTTCAAGTAAATATAATTTTTTTAGATATATTAAATGTTTTTTTAATAAAAAAAATTAATAATAATTTTATTTTTAATTTAAAAAATTTAGTCATATTTTATAAAATATGATTGGTGAAAATATATGTGATTAAGTTGAAAATAACATATATTTGTATTTTATTTTTCTAAATTAATAAATATCATATTTTATAAAATATGATTAAAAAATTTTAAATTAAAATTAAAATAATAATTATTGTTTATTAATGATAAAAAATTATAATTAATTGAAAATTATATTTAATAAATATTTAATTAGAAATGACTAAAATACCCTAACATTTAATAACATTAACTCCAACATTTGACGTTAGGACAAAACATATTTCATTTTAAAGAGTCGAGGGATCAAATTAGTCTCTCATAAGAGTTAAATACTACTTTTGCTCCCTCAAAAAGAGTTGAGGGACCATTTTGGTCCTTTTCTCATTTAAAAATTAATGAGTGAAAGAAAAAGCAAAAAAAAAAAAAGTTATTGCAATATCACTACATTAAAAATTATATATTTATTTGTCTTTTTTTTTTCAAAAGGGAATTTGAAGTTGAACTATTAGACATTTATACTTTTATTATTTTTGGACTTTACTTTAAATTTTTTTGCATATTACTTTCTATAAGTGTATAATCACTATATTTTTCTTATTTGGAATATAATGAATATGGTTATTTATTCCTTATGAAATTGGAAACTGTTTTTTGAAAGCAATATAGATAGAATATATGATAAAAATTAGTTGTCTTAAATAACCATATATACTAACAATATTATATATTTTTGTCACAATTTATTTTATTTTATCACATAGGAAAAGTCAAATCACCAAAAATTATTGACATTCGTATGCCTTACTGTTCCAAAAGAATCTCATGGGTGTACATAAGGACCAAAGAGATTTTTGGGTACAATAAAAATCTAAATAAGGTGCCATGATAAATTTATAAAAGGGTCACAATATAAAATTGGGATTAACTATTGATATTCTTTGAATTCTTTGTATATTTCATTCATGCATATAACTTTATTCGTAGAATTATAATTTTAAAATTCTAATGTACAAGCAATTGAGTTATTTTTTAAAAAATTGAAAGATTAGGATTTTATGTCAAAGAATCGTAAGTCATTTTTATAACACCAAGAATTCTTTATCCCAATACGTGGGGTTAGGTACATGAATCCATTTTCTCTATTGTGTCCTATTCAAAGTCAAATTCTTATTTAAACCTAATTAAAAATTAATAATTTTTAATAGTTTCTAACCAAATCTTTTTAAGTCTACCTCTACCTTTCTTAACACTGGCCGGATTTAATACATTTACTCTCCAAACAAGATCATCGGAAGACTGACATTTATGTGCCAAACCATCTAAGATGACTCTCTCTAATCTTATTTGCGGCTGGAGCTACTTCAACCTTTTAAACACATATACTCATTCAACATTCTATCTCTTAGTGTAAAGCCACTTATCTACCCGAAGATTCTCATCTCTGCAACGTTGTTATATATAAGAAAAAAATATATTTACTAAATTAAACTGATTTTTTCCATGCCAGTTTCTTTTTGAGTTTTTTATTGTTAAACTATAAAAGAGATGAAGTTTTAGTCCATATTGTTGCAATAATATCCATAATTTATGAAACCCTTGACTATAAATATTTTTTCAGAATGATAAACCTTAGTTAGACGATTTTATCATGGTCTTTATTTTTAGAAATGTCTAATAAATATAACAGCTCATTGAAATGTTTGCTCAGTTTGATTATTTCGATTTCTACTTTGACTTTTATTTACTTAATTGCAGCTTCTGGAAAAGCAACGCTTGATAGATTTTGCTGAAGCTCTTCGGAGTAAGCTGAACTATTTTGATGAATTGGAGAACGTAAGTTTCAGTTGCTATTTCCCATATAACATCGTATTTATATCCTCAAACATTCCAATTTAACCATATATTGATGGATTTCTTTCCAAATGAAAACCCTGACTGGTAACTTCCAAAAATTTTGTAGTCTTGTGGTAATTCCCTATTATTCTAGAGATACAAATTGCAAAGCATAGGATATAAATCAAACATATAAGTTACTTACAACGTTATTTTGAAGAAAAACTTGTAAAGTAACGGTCGATTTCCAATGATAAGCAGTGAAACTAGAACTCTTCAGTATTACGATCATCATTTTCTTTTTGCTATTGTTGCTTCTTAGGTTTTGCATTCTTGTTGCAATGGTGCATTGGCTTAAAGGATCTAAACTAAGCTTAGGCTTGGAAATTAGAATGCTGATTTTTTACTGATCATACATGTATTTGCTTTTTTGTCACATGGCTTGATTATTTAAATATGGTACACTACTTGGAGCCTTATTAGAAACATTATATTATTCCTGGTTTAAAAATTTTCAAATGCATGAGTAGGCTAACTCTAATTCATGCCTGCTCTTTTGTTATTTAATTTTCTGAATGCAAGCTGTCAACATGATAATTTGTACTGTTCAATTGAATCTAGTTTGCAGATCTTTCCTTTTCCATAATTGTTTTTAATGAAGTAGAATTACATTTTTAGGCAAACGATTTTCTGCTAGATTTGTTCAAATATCTATAAATACAGCTCTGTTCTTTTATTAGCTTTTATTAGTGGCTAGGTTATCTTAGTACTGAATTTCCATACTGCCTGGCTAGCATTTAGGGGCAAATTCCTGAAAAAATGAATCGGTTTCTATAATAGAACAACTGAGAACTGGTAAATGCTTAAAACAACAGGTGATTTTCTCATGATCTTTCCTTGTTTTTTACTGCTCTAGAGTTGTATTTTAGTAGAGGTCTTTTACTTTTTTAAACAGGATTTGTTTTGATTAACTCATTCTTTATCTAACGAAGGTCCTGATTTGTTTTGTGCAAAGTTTTTGTTCTCCAAAAGGACTTGGAGATTTATCTCGCTGATTAAAGGGATCTTTAAAGGAAATTCTTATTTCCATCATTAAATGAATTTCTTGTTTCGCTATGATTTATTGAAAAATTTCTTGATGACACTAGGCGTTCTCCATATCTAATGTAAAGGTTGTTGAACGATTTCAAATTATTCTTGGTGCATCAAGTTAGTTATTTTGGGAGAGGTAAAAGATTGAAAGACAAAGACTAGGCAAGAAATTAAACAGTACGCACAGCTGAACAGTTCTCCGCCCTTCATTCTAATACTGGATTCTTTTTAAATGTTATCTTGTTGATGGTGAGCTTTTCCCCAAGATTTCAAATTGAAAAGAATTCAGTTGAACCTTTTAGGAAACTCAAATTTGTAAAACCCTGATAAATATAAGGATCTTAAAGCAAAATTCCTCACCATGTATCTTAATTGATTTTTGATGAATATTTTGTCCTGATTTATCTATTTTCTATTAAACTTTTTCTCATTCATTTTTAATTTTCCACATATTGCAGGCTTCTTCCAATTTCTATTCACCAAACTTGAGTATTGGGAATGGGCAGTTTCTTCCTTTGCTGAAACGCCTTGATGACTGCATATCGTACGTAATCCCTTATTATGTTTGAAACTCGTCCCTTGGAAGTTACAACTTTGATTGAGTCACTGATTTTATGAGCTTAGGTATGTTGAAAGCAATCCACAATATGCAGAATCGGCAGTGTACCTAGTGAAGTTTCGACAGCTTCAGGTACTTTATTGTTTGATTTTAAGCCTACTAATGTTGATTGTTTAATATCCATGTAATGTATATGAATTCCTGGGAAAATGTTTCTCTTTCAATAAGAAGTTAGAAGAAAATTCAATTTTGAAATGTGGATCACTATCCAGTATACTGTTATGATGTGGAACGAACATGCGAATGAAGAAGAATTGCCTTTGAGAAATTAATAAGAGCGATGGAATTTATCTTGCTAATAATTAACTCGTTGCTTGCTCAAGATTGAGTTAAGAATTTGAGGTTGAGAGATTTAGCAACGGCAATAGATCACATGTAGAGATTACGGTAACTTGCAAAATAACTACTAAATATTTTAAGTAATGCAAATAGCTAAGAATAACAAAGCCCCAAATTTAAGATCTAGATCATTCACCTTGAGGTCCGTCACTTGTTTTGAAAGTGGTGGCTAGCAGAGGAGAATCGTAAGTAGGCTTAGCGATGCTACTAGTAGACAAGTGATCTTGAGAGGACTCGTCGCCGGGAAAGAAGCCGGATGTGGAGGAGCGGGTGGGTGGCCGTCAATGATCCACTCGGAGTCAGGACGTTGTTTGTCGATGACGATTATGAGAGTCGGTAGGATCCGATCCAAGTAGGCTCCAACGGTATCGTCGTCGGAATCAAATCCTGCGTCGAAGAACGGCGATCGTTGGATATCGAGGTTGCCGTGAGCGTCGAACACAAGTCCCCATTCAAATTCGGGGTCCGCCATGCATTCTTGCCTAGGGTTGAAGGAGTCCCTGAGAGGAAAAAGGAGGTGACCGGTCTTGGGGTGGTGAAGGGAGAAGGAAAAGAGATGTTATTTAGTGGGAGGGAAGAAAGCTGGAATCTGATTTCAGTTTTAATTTAGAGGAAATAGGGAAGCTTTGTTTTCAAATCTCAGATTTGAAATCTGAAATAAAAAATTGAAATCCCGTGATAGATGGGGAGGTATTTAGGAGACATTTAATTATTGATTAAGTGTGGATTGGAGAGAGAAAAGAGGAGGAGGTGGCCGGCCCCATGGAGAGAGGAGAGCAATCAAAATAGTGACGTGGCCTCTCTTGATAAGCTTCCGGAATTAACAAATCTGAGACTTGATTCTCAGATTCATTACACAGGAAAATTTCCTAAATGGCTTTAGCTTCTAGCCGTTGGGAATTTCACGTTAAATGAAAAGAAATAAAAACAGGCCAAATTTCCTAATAGAAGGAGATGCATAATAGGAAAGAAATTAAAGCCTTGGCATGGGATTTCAAATTTTGAAAACAGGTGGGCGGATTGGATTGGCCGGTGTGGATCTGGCCGGCGGGTGGCCGGCCGGTGGTGGCTGTTTTTCTGACCGGCGAAATAGGAAGGGAGGTGCAAGGTGGCCGGCGGCTTAGGGTTGCTTGGAGCAAATGGCGGCAAGGACAAGGAGGAAAAGAGATGGAAGCTTCTGAAGATTTGACGACTACTAATTTACTAACCTCAAATGTCTTCTCGTTGAATTTCCACAAGATTAGTTAGCACTCAGCTCCTCGGATAGCCATGGATGGTTGGATGTCCGCATCACACTAAGAGATCGAGGAGGGTGAAGAACTCACCAAGAGATCTTCTTGAACTCACAAAGAGAACACATAATGGTAAATTTTCATTTCATCAAAAGCTAAACTATTACATGAGAAAATGGCCATATAAATAGGCCTCAAAATGACAACGAAAGTAAAGTACTAAAATGCCCCTTGGGCTACAATAACTATCAAATACCCATAAGGGCAAAAACGGAAAAACATGAAATAAAAATAGATTACTACATAAAATGATGAAAATATAGATCATGATCGTGGCCGTCGATCTCCGGCATCTCCTGGAGGTACATGTGTCAAAATCGCTGCTGATGTCCCCATCATGTTAACTCTTCTTTTTAAAGATTTTCATGATTAGGAACCTATAGATAATTAGTATGGCTCTTGCACAAAGATTGGCTCTCATAATTTAGAAATGGTTTGTAATTGAACATGACATCCTTGCATTGTTAGATGAAATTAATCTCAATGGATTAAAAAAAAGTAGATTAAATGTAAACATGGATAGACACAAATGAATAGATAATGAGGTTTCACATAGTTGTAGAAGGCCAATAATGTTAAATTTATTTTTTAAGAATTGAGATAATCCATTATACTTAAGACTTGTTTTTATTGTTTGTATCACTGAGGGAAGGAGTTATTAATAGGCTAATAATGTCCCTTAGGGTGGGACGGATAAAGTTGTATAAGGCTAATAATGTTCCCAAAAAATTGGTGTGTCTAATAATGTTGCGTATGTTTTTTAGGAGGGATTAGTAAATAGCCCTCCATGTAAGCTTCAAGTGCATCGGGCTCCTCTCTACTGTTTATTCAAATTTTTGGAGGAGGGAGGGTTTGATAATAGCAAATCTTTTCTTTAAATGCCAATAATGGTTCCATGCTGTGAACACTTATGTGTGTATATGGTATGTTCTTCGCCAAACTAAAAATCACCTCTTCTTAAGGTTTTGTTTAATGGGATTGTTACTAGTTAGCTTTTCTATCCATCCAACAGGCGACACAAACCTCTCATAGTAAAATTCCCAGCACGCACCACCTGCTATATGAAGTAGAGTGCCCTGTTTAATTGTTGAAACTTTGCAGCAGAGAATATTCTGGTCTTCTTGATGTTTTCCTCTCATGCATCATTAATGTTATTTCCATTTAAAATTGACGCTTGTGTCATCTTGTGTGTTATCAGCTTGCCTAGCAGGTTAATGTGCATCCATTGTCTCTGCATTGAGGTTTTATGTTTCTTGTTCTTGCTATATCCAAATAATGGATATTTTTATATAGGTCGGACTATGATGCTAGACTAACTGCTTTTTTATTTTTTATTTTTGCACTCTAGTCCCGTGCATTAGGTATGATAAGATCCCATGTACTTTCAATTCTCAAAAGTGCTGATGCCCAGGTGATGTTACAAAAGTGCTGATCCCATGTCTAGTCTTGTAATGTTGGCCTGGAGTCCATGTTTATTATTATCCTTTGTTGTTTATGCAGGTTCAAGCTGCTATTCGAGGTAGTGGTTCTAATAAAGCATCTGTAGCAGAAGGAGTTGAAGAATCTGTTATTTATGTACGTTTTAAAGCAGCAGCTAGTGAGGTACTGGTTCACCTTTTGCTCTTTCCTTCGCCAGTTTGTTAAAGCCAAGGTGTGATGGTGGTTAAACCAATTCATTTTTTTTTTTGCGTGGATTTTAACTATTAAGTAACTTGATGAAAGTTTTCAGTATGGAAAGAGTGGAATCTACGTTATAAAGGCATGAAATTCTCTGTTTACTCGTCTTGCTGACTTGTTTGTGTATACTTGCAGCTCAAACCTATTTTAGAGGAAATCGAAAGTAGGTCTTCAAGGAAGGAATATGCTCATATTTTAACAGATTGCCACAAAATGTATTGCGAACAGAGACTATCCTTGGTGGGTTGATGTAAATTGCCACTATTTCACTCTTTTACTGGTCATTGACTGCCATCTTTATAGTTCACCTATGATGCTTTATAGCAAATAATGACAATTTTATTTAGGTAAAAAGTATAGTGCATCAGAGGATATCGGAATTTGCTAAGAAGGAGGCCTTGCCCTCATTGACTAGATCTGGATGTGCATATCTAATGCAGGTAAGTTATAATTATTTTATTTGATGTGAACCCATATTATTTCAAACTTGTCATGTAATAATGGTGCATGTTTGTCACTCACATGATTTATGGAGGTCATAGTTATAAAATCAATTTATGATACTTTAGCCAATTGATATGTTAAGGGGAGATGGAAAACAAAGTTTTGCCAGAAAATACTTTCTTCTATTGTTGCCCAGTAGCATCAATGATTGATAAGAGACAGCGGCACAAAATGGTACATGATAGGCTTGGTATATGATCAAATGCCTATCCACTATCACTGATACTTGATAACAATGAGATATGTGTCTAAATGCTTGTCATTAGTTCGTATGTATTTGTGTTTCTATTGGTATCCATGAGATGTGCCAATTTGGGTAGTAACTTGGTGTTTGCCAACATATATTGGGATTTGTGTTTTACTCAAGTAGAACATCATGTGGTAATATTAAGAAAGCATGGCCTAGTGATTGGCCACAAGCGTGTACTACTAACAGTTTGGTGCTTTTCTACACAGTTTAGCCGAAGTGGCATTATAATATCATTTGTGTCAAAGGTAGCAAAGGAGTTTCTCTTTCAAGACTACTCACACAAAGCAAGCGAAACCGAAAAGTCCTAAAATTTATAATTAGGTTGTGTAATTAAAAAAAATCGAAGTAAAATAAGGCGGCGCCTTGGGGTGTATGCCTCGAATGCCTTTTGTAAACGATGATGGTTACAATTAGTTCAATGATCTATTAAATACATCAGTGGATTTACAATTGCAACATGTATTTGATTGTATTGAATCCAAATTTGCACATAGGTTAAAATTTATTCATGACTTGCGCCTATTCTTGAGCAAGAGTTGTAACTTGATTTTGAAGTTGAAATTGAAATCAATTATAAAGAGATTAAACCTATAGTTATCTATGAACCTAAATTAGAACTTTAATCTGATCTTGATTGTAGGTTTGGACTGAATAGAACTTGTGTTTATTCTTACGTGTTCCCATAAAAACTGCTAAATATGTTTTTGAGCTTCTTTGTGAGATTAAATCTACTCCTAATGTGAATCTGAATATATTGTACTTGTTGTAATTGGAGAGTTGAAGGATAATGGGTTGGAGAGAATGCTAAGAAGATTGATAGTTTAGGATTTAAACTTTGGTATTCTGGTAGAAGTCGTATCAGAAATAGTATATGTGTGATTTTAGATAAGAATTTGAAGCATAATACTATAAAAATTGATAGAATTGGAGATAAAAATTATTGTTTTGAAGATTATTAATATTATAAGTGCTTATGCTTCTCAAGTAGGTTTGAATATGTGTTTAAAATTAAAATTTTGGAATAACTTAGAAGAATTAATTCAAAAGATTTCTCTTGAAGAAATAATTTTTATTGGAGGAGATTTAAATGGACATGTTGCTTCTCACGCTCGCCGGGGCCCATGCGAGTTTCATGATTGCACTCATCATCCCTTGTGTACCTATGTGTATAAAAACTACGATGTATGTGCGGGGGCATTTTGGACATTTGACGGGTCTTCTATGACAGCTCGTAGAAGTTTTCATCTGTTATAGCCTCCTTATACTTCGCCGTAAACAATATGATGAATGTATGAGTGTATGCCTATATTTGCAAAGAATCCATCACTTCTACATCATTTCTATCAATGTTACTTGTGAGTGAATTGCCAGTTCCATTTGTATTGATTTCAAGCATGCCATAACATTCAATATGTACTGCTTGTTAGTTGGACCATTGCATGCATTTTCAGTATTCTGTGAGCAAGTTGCTTTGAACGTAGATCTCCTAGCATCATCTTCGTTGTAGATGACATTTTTGCATATTATAGCTGATTTATAGACACTTTTATTTGCTACATACCATATGGTGTTCGCTTGCAATGGATCGATGTATCTACTCAATATTGAAGGACGATTGATTGTAATAATGTTGTAGCATTCGTTGCCTTATGTTACGACAGCTTATAGATGACAAGTATCATGATAAATCCACCATCCTTGTTAGCAGGTGTTAGTGTTCATCATATGCTACAATGTATGTATTATCCTCTTCCACTACAGGAAATTCAGGTAGTACCGGCGGTTTGGAAATACAACGGCGGCTTTTCGGCGGTTGTCGAGCCGCCGGTAAAAACGACGTCGGTAACCGTTGCCGGCGGTGTTTTACTGGAGGTTTATTTCCCCGACGGCTTTCCGGCGGACAAAGCCGCCGATTATCGACGGAATTATTGCCAGCGATGTTCCGGCCGTCAAACCGCCGGCAAAATCTACCGCCGGTTAGCCGCCGAGTCGTGCCGACGTAATTGCCGGCGGTTGTAGCGGACGACATCTCGACGAATAACAGCCGGCAACCGCCGAGTCGTGCCGACGGCATTGCCAGCGGTCATAGCCGCCAGCGTGTCGCTGAACAACCGCCGGCCAGCTCCGGTAATCCGCCGGTATTATACCGGCAGTTAAAATAGATTTCCAGCGGCGTCAATCAGCCGTCCGATATCGTGATTTCCGGTCGCCAAACCGCGGTTTGCAAATATCTAGTGACAACATATAATCACCAAAAAGCATATAAAAAAAGCTCACCTCGGAGGCGGCGTCGCGCACGGGATCCGGCCGGTCTGTTCGTCGGCGGCCTTGCAGTTGGAGTTCGAGGGCCGGCGGTGTGGGGTCGGCGGCCAGAGACAGGTCGTCAGCGGTTGTTGTCAAGCCGCTCGGTCGCGCGAGAGGTGGGCGGAGGCGACGAGGGAGCAAAGGCCGAAGAGAGAGAACGAAGAAGATGAAATGAAATGGGAGGCTCGGGCTGTTTCATTTTAGGGCTTTTATTGGCGGCTTTCCGGTGGCTCAAGCCGCCGGTATTGAAATGACTTAACACCGGCGGTTTTAGCCGTCGGTATACCGCCGGTCATATTTAAATCCGGCGGTTAACCCGGCGGTGTTATGACCGTCGGTAATTCTGGCGGCCTATGCTTGAATAATCGCCGGGTAGGCTACTGGTATTAACCGGCGGCGAAACTGCCGGCTATACCACCGTTATTACCGGAGGCTACACAAACGCCGGTCTAGGCCGTCGGTAATAGCAGAATTTCCTGTAGTGTTCTTTGCACATTACTCATCGTATTCACCGATAACTCCCTTCATTAGTGCTCTTACCTGGACGTAGAAAATATTGCTACATCTTACATGACTGTTGTATTGACCGTATTAAATTCAGCTTTGTTATTCATAAGGTAATGTTACACATTCATGATTACCCTTATCAATTTCATTGCTTGCAAGCTCGGGTACATTTGATTGTTGCATATAAATGAGCCTTGTTGAATTCTACAAGTCTTCCACTGTTATATGAGGATGACTCAAATCTTGTTATGAGTTTGCTTGACAACTTTTACATTCTGATTGCAGTGACAATTCCCTTAATGTCCACTAAAGAAATTTTATATTGTTAACCATGAACATGTTGTTATATGTCCATTTGTTCCTTGTTGATGATTGCTTGCAAGTTCCTCTTGAAGCTTTGGTTATTACAAGCATCATATCCATTCATCGGTGTTTATTTGAAAGCCCTGAGATTTGATTCGCCATGAGTTTTTACTTGCTTGCATATAGACTCCATTTGCAACTTCTTTGTCTTCAAAGATAGTTTATGATGAGTTTGATATCATTATTCATTTGTATTTCAATTGAAATAGTCATTTTATAGCCTTCATTAGGAATTTGGTACAATGATTCAGACTAAACTCTTTACTGATTGCCCATCTTTATATTTTGTCCAAGTTCAAAGTCATGTCCACTTAATGTATAAATCAAGTTCAAATTTGAGTCCAAGTTTTTGTAGTCAAGTTTTAATTCAAGTTTTCATTTAGTTCAGTCGATGTTCCAACCAAATTCAGTTCCAATTCATGTCCTTGCTTGAGTTTAAGTAGCAAGCTCAAGTTGTATGTCCCCTGTAGTCCTTTGTTGCAAGTCCAAGTTCGTATTCAATATCATTTTACTTAGGTTCAAATATTTTATAGTTCATTTTGTGTCCAAATGCAAAGCCAAATAGTCTCGTGTTCACCTAAAATTTCGGCAGCCTCCCGACATCTCCCCTTTTTAGGGGAAAAACCAAGAGACCTTCCCCTCGTTGCTACTTGAGCGCTTCAAGTAGGTGTCAAATGACACCGCGACCGCAAATTCTTCAATCCCCGCCCGCTACATGAGCGTTTAAGGGTCTTCATGTACTTGTTTCAAAGACGACAGTTTTCTTTCCCCTCTCTACACTACGTGAGCGTTTGGAGGTACGTAATTTTTGTCCCTGTTACGCTACTTGAGCACTCCAAGGCTTACCCGCCTCGTCGCTAGTGTCACACCGGTTTCCCTTCCTACTACGCTACGTGAGCGCGTAGGGGGTTTGCCGGCTCGTCGCTAGCGTCGAGAGTGAGATTTTTTAAGTTAGAAATTATACCTTTGCAACCGATGGCGGGGATGGTGGTGTAAATGCACAAAAATATTTCTCTATTTTTTTGTATTTCTCATGACATGAATTCCTTAAAAATTTGTGTTTGGACATGGTGGTAGAGAGGTAGATGATTTTAACAGCATCCAAGGTGGCCATGGGTTTGGAACAACAAATAAAGGTGGTAAGACTATATTAAATTTTTCTTTAGCTTATGATTTCTTAATAGCTAATATCTTATTTAAGAAAAAAGATGAGCATCTTATCACTTGTAAAAATGGATGTAGTAAAACGCAAATTGATTATTTTCTTATAAGAAAATTAGATCGTTTAGATTGCAAAGATTGAAAAGTTATTCCGAGTGAAAATTTATGTTCCCAATATTGATTATTAGTTTTGGACTTTAAGATAAAGGGGCAAAAAATAAAAAATAAAGTAAAACGATTTTTTAGGATTAGATGAGGGAATTTAAATAATATTAACTAAAGTATTTTTGAGAGTAAAATTTTAGATCTTAAGATTCTGTCTGTGCATGAGGATGTCCATATTATATGGGA